TATTACGAAATGATCAAAGCAGCTAAAACAGAATCAAATCAGGCGAAGACGATGGACGATGGACGATCGACGATGGTTATGGCTATGGCTATGGCTATGGCTATGGCTATGGCTATCGCTATAGCGGCCTGATCTTCTCAACTCAACCCCAAGCGAGCCTCGGAGAATGGCTGTTCGCTATTGCGATCATATCGTATCGGATTGGATCGGTTCGAGACTCGATTACAATAATTACAATCGGCTACGCGCGATTCACCAAATCACAGCAACAACAAAGACAGTGCGGCCTGCATCTCAAAGATACGGATACAGATGCAGCTATTCAGGAGCATTTTTTAAGGAGATTTAAAAGTACTAAAAACTTTACATACTGAAAAACTGTTTTATTTGTAATTGAATTAAACAAAGTCGTTATTTAAAAGCAAAAAGCTTACACCACTGTCGGATACATTTACATTTACATACACAGAAATCGCTTACAGATACTGATGCCAACTACAGTATAAATTCTATAGTTATATATCATCAAATAACTATTTTTTCTAAAATAGCTGTACACTTACCAATTTCAACAAAATGCAGGGTCAGCATTTTAAATTTTTTTCTATGGCTAATACATTTTACAGAATCTGGAAACTTTTATAAAACAAAACTTTGAAATACATTGGTTGTAATACAATACTTTGGAATTCCAAATACCTATTGAGAATAACCTAAATTGCATTACTAAGATTTTATATTTTTAAAGTTCCATTTAGAGATGTTTTACTGTATTACGTGCATATAAACAATCTTTATAAGAAATTGAAGTCAAGAAGCAGAATTAAAACAAAACTCATCAACATCAACGGTCACACACACGCAGAGTCGTCAATTGACGCGCGTGTGTGTGTATGAGTGGGGGGCGAGAAGAGAGGCAAAGAAAGGAGAAGAAGAATCAAGAGGAGAATCGAGAGGAGATCCATCTTCTAGGCTCCATTTGGCAAGGCGAATCGGGCAGAACGAGAAATTGAAAAGACAGTTACAACGTCATAATGAAGTTGGCTCTTCTCATCCACTCTTTGCCTCCCTTATTCCTCTCTCCCCCTGTTGTCCCCACCAACTATCTGTATCTTTCTCCTGAAGATTGGCGACTGAAGACTGCGAAAAAGTTTATAAAAATCCAAAGCAAAACCGCATGCTACACATAAACTTACAAACACAATCGCCGCAAACACAGATACACACCCATACACGCTGAGAAATCGTGATGTTGTTGTATATAGGGGAGCATAGCTTTTTTGTTTTTGCGAAATTGAGCGGTAAATGGGCAATGAGAATGAGAATCTCAAAGATACGAAAGGCTCTCTGGGATTTTCTCTCTCGCATGCGATTTTCGTACGCGTTCAACGGTAGCTGCGCACGCGTTAAAACGATCTTTCAGATACGTCATAAAATAAAGATGTTCATCTTGTGAATATCAAATGAATTTTGAATGTCGGTAAAATCAAATTATTCATTTAAAAACTGTCTAACTTTAAATAATGGGGTTTTTATGATAAATAGGAGAAATAAATAAAAGATTAAATTAATGTTTTCCCAAGAAAATTTGTAAAAGCTGTTAGCTTAGATCAATATAAAAAAATTATTAAAAACAACGATAGTAAACAAGTAAAATAATTACAAATAAAATGATTGATGTTTTAATCTTTTTTATACCCTTGTAGAGGGTATTATAATTTCAGTCAGATGTTTGCAACGCAGTGAAGGAGACGTTTCCGACCACATAAAGTATATATATTCTTGATCAGCACCAATAGCCGAGTCTATCTAGCCATGTCCGTCTGTCCGTCTGTCCGTCTGTCCGTCTGTCCGTCTGTCCGTTTGTCCGTTTCTATGCGAACTAGTCTCTCAGTTTTAAAGCTATCGCGATGAAACTTTCCCGAAGGTCTTCTTTCTATTGCAGGTAGTACATATGTCGGAGCCAGCCGGATCGGACCACTATATCTTAAGGCTCCCAAACAAATATAAGAAAATTCATTGTAACTTTGTAGGAAGTAGGCGTTTTGATTCTTGACTACTTAAAAACAAAATTGAAATAAATCGAAACACTGAATCTGGAATCCCTGGAACTGCACCGAGTGAGTATTCTTTTATCTACAAGGGTATATAAGCTTCGGCTGGCCGAAGGTAGCTTCCTTTCTTGTTTTTCTTTAACATTTTCTTTCTATAAATATTATTGATTTTGTTTTTAGCTTTAGCAAACCAATTAAATTAATGGTTTCCGCGTTTCTTGGCTTTGATTTCCTGGCTTTTTCATGGCCTTTGGAGCGTTGACCAGCACTGCGGCAGATGCAACTTGTGTTGCATTCACTTCTGGCCAAAGGCGCACTTCACACAGATACTCTGGCCAACACACACCGATGCAGTGCCCCCGCACTAACACTAACACTAACACACACACACCTACGTGGGATCGGTGGCCAAGATGCAAGATGCACTCGCATTGCAACTGGCTTTTGGTCTATAATTCTTGTTTCTGGTTTTCGTGCTGCCAAGATAAGGAGTGGGACATTGGCCAGCACAGCCTCATCGTTATTACGATCCTCTGGCCCCATGATCATCATCATCATCGTCTTCCCTGGGCGAAGAGGCCACAGGAAACTGCAGCAGCATGGCGCTTTGTCTCCCAAAGGAAGCGGACCAGTAATATTTACATTTATTGCTAAATTATGCACACTTTTTTGTTCCGTATTCAGGTATTTTTATTTGCAGGCCCATCTTTTTCACGAATAATTATTCAGTTGATAAGTCATATCTCTTGCATTTATATCTGATTTAGACAGAGACTGGATCTTGTATTTGCCCTGAAGTCGGAAAGATATTTTAGACAATTCAAGTATACTTACAGCAGTAATAAATATGTGAAACTTAACTTGATATTCTAAATATTTCTACAAATATTAAAAACCTATATTACTGTTTAAAAAAATACATTTGGTAAAATATGATATCAGCTCTGCAGAAATTGAGCAGTCATTGCCGGTTTGTTTTCTACTTAAAAGTAAACAACGCCATTTATTAATGAGTTTGTAATTTGAATAAAATTCATGACGTGGGCCCGTTTCTATGGGGTCGCAGCACAATCTCTGCGGTTTTCCACGGTGAAAAGCGCCGAGATTGCTACTAATGGCTGGAGATTTTCATGGAAAGTTGGTGCGGTTGCTGTTGCTGCTTTTTCTTGCTTATGAAAATTTCACGCCAGTCGAAAAGAATTATTAATTGCGCAGCGGCAACGGGAACAACAAAAACAACATTTCAGCCACCACCGCAGAAGACAACAGCAACAACAACAACAACCGCACACAAATTTCAAAAGTGGGAATTATGCATCGCTGCGCAGAAGCAGAACTCTAAAAACGCACATAGGGAAAATCCGGGGGTAAATGTATCTGTATCTGTTTTTGTTTTTCTATCTGTGTGTCTGTAAGCGCGTGTAAAATATGGTAAACATGGAAATACGTAATAACTGAAAAAAAGCCAACAGCTACAGAAACAGTGTAACACAAAAAAGGGAAATATAAAATCAGGTACAAATTTTCACCAAAAACAGAAAAAAAAGAGTTTACATCGCTCTGCCAGCGTCGGCCGTTGGATTGTCATTATTGATTGACATGGGAGTAGTAAAAAGGGGGACCTAACCCAAAACTGCTGGGTTTTATAATTTAATGTTAGAGTCAAACTTTCAACCAAGAAGTATCTGCGAAAAAGCAAGAAAATAATATAATGGTAAGTTAAAAGTAAGTAAGTAAGAAATTTTAGAAATGGTTTTTGAAATTAGAGTTACCTTTTTTTCCTATAAAACTTTATATATTTTTGAAATGGGGATTTCGAGTAATGGAAAAAGGAAAAATTTGTAATACAAATTTAAAGATATTTTTACAATTATGTAAGGTGATTCAGATTATTATACAAAGTACAAACTTGAACATATAATTTTCAAAATTAAGTTTACTACGTAGATTTTATAATTTTTAGTATTATCTTGTTTTGGGACTATAAACAATTTACCCCTCAAATTTGTTAGGCCCACACCCATGCTTCTTGGCTGTTGTAAAAGCTGGCTTGGGCCTGACTTTGACGATTTCGTGGTCACACAGTGTGAAGAATGGCTAGGAAATATTGTATGCACCGTTGTTTGGTGGGCTGTTACAGATTTACAGATTACTGCGCCAGATAACAAATGAAAGTGCCCTGGCATTTGTTTTTTTTCGGTTTTTTTCAGTTGCTCCGCTCGTTGGGCAGGAAAGAAACCCCAGAAGGAGGCGATCGTTACAACAATAGAAAGAAAAACGTTGATTCAACCTTTTAGCTGTAAAGAATAACAGCAATTTGGGTGGGTTTTGGTTTACATATGCTTTATGGGGAAAGATCGCCGATAAGAATCTGACTGATCTGGGCTTAATGTGGAAGAAAGTCTGGTCTGGCATTTCTGGGCAATCCTGCCCTTCTAATTTCAGGCAATCTACTTCTTAAATTCTAAAAGATGTATGTTCTTTTAAAATGGTAAGATGTATAACCTATTATACTTTTATTGGGCTCTGTTTGGGCAAGCTTTGTAAAATATGTCAATTAAAAATTGTTCTGACTGGCTTGTACTTTTACACATTTCAATATTTCGAAAACATTTACATATTTTCTTCGTAATGATGATTTTTTGCCATCAAAGGAGCAAGTCTAATATTTTGCCCTAGGTAAGTGTAGATTTTTTTAGAGGATTTCCGAAAAGGACATAGCTGGACTTCCATCAATCTTAATTAAATGGCAATACTTTTAAATAATTTTAGAAATATATCTTTTGTAGCGTTTTTCCAGATATTTACTTAATTTTATATTGTTCGATGATATTTAAATGCATTCCAGATAATTATATTTTAGCAATTCCGCCAAAATATCCTCCTCGTGGTGACAACCCTAGTCAGCAGAACTTTCCAACACTGCTTTCGTTGACATTTTTTATTGGAAAAATATATTAAGTATCAAGCGAAAAAGCTGAATCCGACCAGAAATGGCCAATAAATTCCGGAATATGAGCAGCAAACTGTTCCAATTGGCCAGGAGCAGCTTCCACCGGACATCGGTGCGCCCGCGGATGAGTTTCCCGGGACGTGGGGGCTTTTCCATCGGTCGACCCAAGTTGCTGGGAGCACTGGGAGCCCTGACCGGAGCGGCGGGACTGCTGATCTACGCCCTGGAAACCAGCGTGGATGCCTCCTCCGACTGCGTGCATCCGCCGCATCAGCACTGGAACCACACGGGTCTGCTGGCCGCCCTGGACAAGGAGAGCGTGCGTCGGGGCTACTTCGTGTACAAGGAGGTCTGTGCCTCCTGCCACTCCTTGCAGTACATGGCCTACCGCAACCTGGTGGGCGTTTGCATGACGGAGGCGGAGGCCAAGGCCGAGGCCGAGGCCATAACCGTGCGGGATGGCCCCAACGATGAGGGCGAGTTCTTCGAACGTCCCGGCAAGCTATCCGATCGCTTTCCATCGCCCTATGCCAACGAGGAGGCGGCTCGTTCGGCCAACAATGGCTCCTATCCGCCGGATCTCAGCTACATAGTGTCTGCCCGCAAGGGTGGCGAGGATTACGTGTTCGCCCTGCTCACCGGATACTGCGATCCTCCTGCCGGCTTTTCTCTACGCGAAGGACTGTACTTCAATCCGTACTTCTCCGGCGGAGCCATCGCCATGGCCCAGTCGGTGGACAACGAGGTGGTCACCTTTGAAGATCCCAATGTGGCTGCCTCGGCCGCCCAAATTGCCAAGGATGTGTGCGTCTTCCTCAAGTGGACCTCGGAACCGGAGGCCGATGAGCGCCGCCTGCTGCTCATCAAGGTTACTCTCATATCGGCCTTCTTGATCGGCATTTCCTACTACATCAAGCGTTTCAAGTGGTCAGCGCTGAAGTCGCGCAAGATCTTCTTTATCCCCGAACTGGAGGCCCAGGCCAAGAAGGAGGCGGAGGAGGCCGCCAAGGCTTTGCTCAAGGCCAAGGAGCAGGAGTGCAACAAGTGCGAGAACAAGAACGAAAAGCCGGAATAATCTCAGTGTACTCTTGAATAAAGCATTTTGAATTTAAATATTTGGCGCGCACTTGTGTTATCGATAGGTGGTTTAGGGTGGTAGTTCCACTGGTGAAGAAAACCGGTTGGCAGCCCGTTATGTTCTGTTATCGAGGCTTGCCGGTCTGTTATGTTAAAACAGCTGTTCTGTTAAGATTGTAAACAAACTTAAGATTTAAATTTAGTTTTTGTTTTCCACGCTTTAAAGAGGAATTATTTAGTTTTATTAGCTTATTTTTAATGGCTACATATCCCTCTTCCAAGTTTATGGAGTGCCTGCAGTATGCGGCTTTTAAACACCGCGAACAAAGACGCAAGGTAAGCTTTTTTAGGCAAGGAGAGTAACAATCATAAGAATTCCCCGTTTTTACTTTATTTTAAGGACCCCAAGGAAACCCCTTACGTGAATCACGTGATAAATGTGAGCACCATTCTGTCCGTGGAGGCCTGCATCACCGATGAGGCGGTTCTGATGGCTGCCCTTCTTCACGATGTCGTCGAAGATACAGATGCATCTTTCGAGGATGTGGAGAAACTATTTGGATCGGATGTTTGTGGGTTAGTCCGCGAGGTGACCGATGACAAATCCCTGGAAAAGCAGGAAAGAAAACGCTTGCAAATAGAAAATGCAGCCAAAACGAGCTGCAGAGCCAAGCTCATAAAACTGGCCGACAAACTGGATAACCTGAGGGATCTGCAGGTCAACACGCCAACAGGATGGACGGAGGCATGTTTATAGACCCCATCGAAAACCCTATTAATAGACCAACCTTTCCATTTCAGGAACGTCGTGAACAGTACTTCCATTGGGCCAAAAAGGTGGTGGATAATCTGCGAGGCACCAACGCCAATCTGGAACTTAAGCTAGATGAAATCTTCCGCCAACGTGGTCTCTTGTAACTCCCAAAACATCCACTAATTACAAAGGCAACTCTTTAATTTTTATTGTTTTTATAAAAGGCCAGCATGAGATTGGCCAACTGTTGGGTCTCCGCCAGCGTAACAGCATTGTAGAGGGAGGCACGAATGCCGCCCACCGAGCGATGGCCCTTCAACTGGATCATGCCCTCCGCCTCTGCTTTGGTCAGGAACTCCTTTTCCAGCGCATCATCTCCCGCGGCACTGCCAATCCTAAAGGGCACATTCATCCGCGAACGCACATTCTTATCCAGTGGACAGTAAAAGAAACCATTCGACTGGTCAATGGTGTCGTAAATCAGCTTGGATTTGGCCTCCGAAAGCTTCGCCATGCCAGCAACGCCTCCATTCCGCTTGATCCACTTGAAGACCAGGCCCATCACATAGATGCTGCAAGGAATAAGGTTTAACAAAGAGTTCTCTATCTAAAACTCATACCCAACTTACCCAAAAGTAGGCGGAGTATTTAGCAGCGAGCTGTTCTTGTCCATCAGCTCAAAGTTTAGAATAGAGGGCGTGATCTTCAAATGTTTGCCTATCAAATCTTCCCTGACTATAATAACCGTGGTGCCCGCTGGTCCGATATTCTTCTGGGCTCCGGCATAGATCACGCCAAACTTGGCGACATCAATGGGACGCGACAGGAAGTTGGAGGACATATCGGCCACCAATGGAACACCGGCTGGAACCTCGGGCACGAAATCAAACTCCACGCCCTCTACGGTTTCATTGTCGCAATAGTAGACATAGGAGGCTTTGGGATCCAGCTTCCAGGTGTCCTGCCGTGGAACAGATGTATATTTGGCCAGCTTTGGCAGCACTGCGTTCACTGTGCCGTACTGAGCCGCCTCCTTGGCCGCCTTCGATGACCAAGATCCGGTGATTACGTAATCAGCAGTGCCAGTTTTGCCAATCAAATTCATAGCCACTGCTGCAAACTGTCCTGTGCCACCGCCCTGCATCAGCAGGATCTTGTAGTTGCTGGGCACATTCAGGAGCTCTCGCAGATCATCGATGGCCGCCTCCTGGATTTTGGCATAGTTGCTGGAACGATGGGACATCTCCATGACCGATATGCCGCTGCCATTGCAATTGAGGAGGTTCTCCTGCACCTCTTTGAGGACCTATAAAAATAGTATTGCAAATTATCGTGTGAATTAAATTGGTAAGAATTCTTAAAACATTTTAAAATTAGCATAAAGTAGTATTTAAACGATTTGATATGTTTGATTGATTTTGAAAAACCTTTGAAGATAATAGATACACTTTATTTAATAATTTGATATTACATTCAGTTAATATTTTATGAAATTAAATTAATTTTGGAAATTCTTTTTTTCGTTTATTGGTAATTATATTGTATGAATGATGCAATAATTACAGCTGTTACAGCATGAATCTATTTTTTAATATTTTGTGCAAAGTTGTATTGTTGTTGTAAAAGCAATTTGTAGTTTAAAAAACTGCACACAGTCATTTCAATTAAATAATTATTAATTTGAATTTTACAGATATGTCACGTGTTTGAGCAAAGTGTTAGTCCTACCCGTTTTACTGACCTCTTCGGGCAATTTGGCTGGACCGGCGGCGAAGTTGATAACCATGTTGCTGATTTTATATAGCGTCTGCGATCTGTGAACCTCTCCGGGAAGCCGCTAAATATTAACTAAAGTGCTGAGCAGCCCGTCCAGTATTCGCAATCGCTGATAAACGAGACGAAGGCGGCGGAAAGAACAGCAACAAGTCACAAAACGCGTGCGGGAAAACAGACTCAAACTCGCCCGACTGGACAACGAACTCGGTTTGTCCAGGGGCGGAATGTCGAAAAGGGGGGGTACTTACCCACGAACCCCCGACTGCGGACTGCGCTCCTGGAGAATCCACGAAGCCAGACAAAGACTGGCGGTACGGCGAATTCGATCAAAACAAGTCGGCAAACCGCACAGCGAATAAATTCGCATATATGCAACGCACGAAAACAAATGCTCCCCAACGACCCCCCTTCACCCCTTTTTCACCATCCAGCGCGGGTTGCCATGCACTTTTCGATGGAATGACAATAACAACCGAACGACTGAATTCGCAGACGAGTAAACAAGCTCCGAATGAAAAATATGTAAGTGCATTGTACAGTCAAGCCTCGCCATGTGTGAAAACTTGTTTGTATTTTTTTCAGATTTTAATGAAATTTTTTGTATTGTAATCTAAACTATTCTTTAAAACTCAAGAATTTAATCAATTTATATATATTTTATTTGTAAGTATTTTTTTCAGATTTCAACGGAATATTTTGTATTGTAATCCAAACTATTCTTTAAAACTCAAAAAATTAATCAATTTTAATTTTTTATTCGTAAGTATTTTTTTTGTAAGTTACCCAATGTAATATTTTAAAGTCTTAAAAAACTAGTCTGATTTTTGAAGTTTAAAGTGGAATAGAATTCTGAATATGTATTGGTTTATTTGTTATTGAACTTTTAAGAAAAGTGTTGTTTTCTTTTTAAAATTAGTTAAACCCCTATTCTTCTATTATATTCTTTATAATAAATGTTCATCTACTCGTCTACCGATAATGAATTCCCCGAACTCTTTTATGACTGGCCATAACTCAGTGGTTAACTGATTCCTTATCCTTTTCCGTGCCGTTTGATTAAGAGGCATTGTAAGAGGGCAATCAGAACCGCCTTAGACCTATGCTACGAATACTTATCTTGGCCTATGTCTTGGCCAAATTCGGTGACCGTCTAATTACTTTATAGCAGCCGCCTTGCCTTGCTTGCAGCCGGCATGAAAGGTGCTTAAAGTTTCCAATTTACTCGAACGCCCAAAACGAATTTCCAATGAGAAGCTGGCCAACGTGTCTGGAAACCCAAACGTGCTCGGCTCGTGCGTTCGAGTTGTGGGTCTAAGTGTGGGCGGACGTGGGTGTTACCGGGTGTTTTCGGGGTGTCACTGGGGGTACTGCGATACTCAGGAACTGGGGTAGTGGGGTAGTGGGAACTGGTTCGTTTGCTCGGATGTGGGCTGGTCATTCATAAACGTTAAGCCAAAAAGTCAATAATTTCGCCCTGTAATGTTGATTGCACAGCTCAATGGGGCGCCTTTGGCTCCGAGACGTCGGTTTGGTATTTGAAAAATCTTCAAACAACAATTTCGTTTTGACTAATTAGGGTTTTTAAGATTTATTGCCCGGCGTTGGGTACAGCTGCCTTATAAATAAGTACATAATTTCAGTTATTGCGGCTCCGCCTGCACTTTGTTTACGATGTCGCTCCAGAAGGTTCCGTACTCTTGTAGCACAGTGCCCCTGCAAGGGAAAAATGAAAATGTAAATTCCTCCATTGAGCAAGTCATGATTGTTTTTAATTTATACGGCAGATTGCATGCGATGTGTAGCTACGGCTATAAATAGGTAATAATTGATGATTCGACAATTTAAGGAGATGATATTTAAGGTAAGACAACACTGGACTACATTCATTTTGGCTTGATATAAAAGCTGATTGAGTGCAGTTTAAAAGAGAGTGCATCTAAGATAATATGCCATTATTTTCATTGCTTTTTTATTAATTTAATTTAAATCATTGCTTGTAAATCTTTTAAGGTATTTTATGAAGACATTCTTGCTATCGGAAATGCCTTTGAAAATAAAGTTTTTGATGTTCTTAAACTTTCCTTGTCCCTTTTTGATTAATTCTCATATTTGCATATTTTCTTGTGGTAGAATGATTAATGATACAAGTGCCCGGAAAATAACTTCTGTTCGGTTGATTCACAGTTGGCACACCCTCATGTTGGCCAGTGTTATTTGCTGACAAAGTTGACAAAGTTGCCGTACAAAAAGCACTGACAACTTTTATTTGGCTCTTTTGAGATTGTCACCGAGTGGCGTCTTTGCCGTTTGATGCCTTTTTTGTGAACTGATGATTGGGAGACTCTTTTCGCCTGGCTCTTTCCAAATAAATCAATTACATAATGCCTTTTGTGCGATTATCCGGCAAGTTTTTGTCGGCCTGACAATTATGTGCACATTACATTATGTGGGTCAACGTGGCGTATGATTAATGAATCCCTTCACGACCCTCGATGATGGGTGCCACTGCTTATACTACTTTTGTTGGCGCTTCTGATGATAATGATGATTATGATTGTGATGATGGTGCCGGACGATAGAAGACACGTACTGTAGTTGTACATAGCCAGTTTTGACAAAGTGTTTCATTGAAACTGCCAAGAAATGGGTGCTAAACATACATTTATTAAATTAACTTGGTAGTGAAAATTGTCTATGAATTTTGTGAAATTCAAGTGGTTTTAAGGCGGAACCGAATAGAGAATTAAATTGATATTATTGCTTTAGATTAAATTAATTTATTTTAATAATATCTTAAGAGATTATTTAATCTCTACATTTTTAGAACTTCTAATTTATAACTCCTTGGTTATTATTATGTAAAGGACTAGAATACTTTAATTTTATAGATTCTGAAGCATTAGATATTACAACTTTTTTATCCCTTCTTAATTTTAGACTCACGTGAAGTAGACATGTCCTCGCCTATTCTGTGGAGCCTTCCAGATCAGCTTGGCGCCCAGTTTGTCCCGATTGTCCGAGTGCGTGATGGCCGAGCACTCGGGAATGGTCTTGGTGTTCTCGCTCTGCACCCACTCCCCGATCCACTCGTTCGAATCGGAGTCTCGCGCCTGCAGGAAGAATCCCCGGAAGACGGTACTCTGATCGGAGTGCGGATATATAACCACCGATATCTGCTGACCGGGGTGATAGGTTTGGGAATCGGCCACCACTTCGTAGGGATTCGATTGGGCAGTCTGACTCCTGGCCTTTCCATGATTCGGTTGATTGGCTCTCTGTTTCACACACGTATCCGCGGGAGCTCCGTCCGGAAAGGCAATGGCACTGCCCATCAGTAGGATCAGCTCCAGGGATATCCAGTTGAATAGATCCTTCATGACTGCGAGTAATTTCGGTTTTCCTGATCGTGGGAAAATGCGCGCGCGTTCGGCTAATCTAATGGTAAAACTCGGCTCGCCGCCGTCATCGCCGGTCGTTTATAAAGCCAGGCCGCAATGCCAAAAGCTCCGCTGCCGCCGAAGACATGGGCGGGCGGTCAAAATCGAGAGATACCCACACCTGAGGGAGATTTAATAGTGCCTTAAGGAGAAAATATATTTAAGAAAAATTCAATTAAGAAATGTTATTAGATAAGTGAGAATCCTAAAATAACTTAAACACGAAATTATTTAAATTTAAGTAAAATAGACAAGGATTCTGCATTTTGCTGCCAATTAAGTATAAAATATTATTTTAATTAATTAATAGGCAAAGCCTCGAATTTGCAAGTGCATAAATCGTAAATAGTGCCATTAACTCAACGTTTAAATCATTATTATTTCGGTTAATTTTGAAAGAATCAACATAGTATAGCGTGTATAATAGAGATGCATAAATCATTGACAGATGCTCGCTGGCAGTCTAGTGCACCGTGAATCATTAATGATTTATATCGACTAATTTATGGGTGGCACGGCGCTAGTGCTATTAATCTGACCGCAAACGTACACAGCCGCGCTCAGCTGGCTGCGGACAACCAGTTTTTAATGATCAAAAAGCAAATAGCCAAAACATAGTTCCTTTCCTGCACTGTGATCCAAACTGGGTCACACATTAGTCCCTCCCCTGAGCCGCCGACTCGGATTCGGATTCGGTTTTGAAGTCTGGGCCCCAAACTCTGGCTCTAAGTGCTCCATTGCGAAACTCTATGCTTCTAATCGCTGAAAATGTTGCCTGTACACAACTATGTTCCGTCGTTTGTTTATTTTGCGCCTTTTCGATGCATTTTTCAGCGCGTTTTAATGTTTTAATTGACAGGCAGCCGCCGTTGGCGTTTTTGATTTCGCTGAATTGAGTTAGCTTTGCTTGGGTTTGGGTTTCGGTTTCTATTTATTTTTCTGCTTTTCTTTTCTATGGGTCTAGCTTTTCCTCTTTTGATTCCGCTGCGTTTCGCATTTCGCAGTGGCATGCAGCGGTTTCCTTTTCGGGTTCCGCCAACGCTGTTTCTCGGCGGAAAATGGTTTTCCACCCCCTTCTTTTTCCCCCAAATATTAAATTGAATTTAGTTTTAGGCGAGTTAGAGAATTTTAACAGCTGTTTACTGAATACAAATACGATTATTTTAGATTTAAGAGGCTTTTATATATATATTGTAATATCATTAAACCGAGCCATTAAAATTGCATAAATTACAATTAAAATTACCTGTTAAACCTCTCTATTAAAATTCATTTTAAACCAAAATGAAAAATATAAATAAAGTGTCCAATTACACAGGTACACAGCCAAAAATTTCCACGAACCATTTCTAGTTTTCCATGATAATTGGGTGATCCTGAGTAAAAGTCCCATACAAACTTATGTCCCATCACCTACAGGTTCCGCGGTATAGCTAAGAATACAAAAAACCGATGTTTGCCCACATTTTGAATTACGTGGCCTATATAATTGGACTAACCTTTATTATTTTCGGTAGGACCTACTCTCAATACATCACGGCATTCCTAAAAAATAGTCCCCATTGTGAATTATTGCCCATGTCTTTGGAATTCGACGCCAAAGTTGAAAATCCCAAAATTGTAGAGATTTTTCTGATGTAAAAACAATTCTGAGGATTAAATCTTGAATGGAAGTAATTTTAACTATTCATTGTATCTATTGTTCATTGTATGCTTTAATTTCGGTTTAAAGCGTTTTCATGAGAATATTTTTTATTGGATTTATTATACTAATAAAACCGATTTTTTTATTTCATTATCTACTCCTAAATGTTGTCAAATTTTAAAAAAGTCAAGGCATCCTACAGAATGGGAGTAAACACTTACATTTTTCTATGTATGTTCAGTGAACGTACTTTAGTTTCTTAGTTCTAGAGGTTGCCATGACTTATTCAAAATTTGACAACATTTAGGAGTAGATAATGAAATCAAAAAATAGGTTTTATTAGTCTAAGAAATCCAATAAAAAATATTCTCATGAAAACGCTTTAAACCGAAATTAAAGCATACAATGAACAATAGATACAATGAATAGTTAAAATTACTTCCATTCAAGATTTAATCCTCAGAATTGTTTTTACATCAGAAAAATCTCTACAATTTTGGGATTTTCAACTTTGGCGTCGAATTCCAAAGACATGGGCAATGGTTCACAATGGGGACTATTTTTTAGGAATGCCGTGATGTATTGAGAGTAGGTCCTACCGAAAATAATAAAGGTTAGTCCAATTATATAGGCCACTTAATTCAAAATGTCGACCAACATCGGTTTTTTGTATTCTTAGCTATACCGCGGAACCTGTAGGTGATGGAAAATAATTTTGTATGGGACTTTTACTCAGGAGCACCCAAATATCATGGAAAACTTGAAATGGTTCGTGGAAATTTTACAAAGTTTAATTTTGTGTTCCTGTGTTAGCTTGTGCTCACTTTAATTAGCTTTTTGCGTTTAGTTTACCTCACACGTTCAAGTACTTTAGAAAACTAGCGAATGGCACACAAATTTTAATTTATTAAATGTGAAAATAAACTAAAACCGTTTCTGGCCAAAGCGTTATTTTATTGCTTAGATATACAGGCACACGCACACTTTGAGCAAACACAATTTTAAACTCGTTTCATTAATTAAAATGTACGGTTAAATATTTAAATTGGAAATGCCAGAATCAGCAAGTTTGTGTGCACAAAATTAAATTGTTTACATTTTGGAAAATGTGCTTGCGCAGAAATGTGATAAATATTATTTTAGATTGCATTTAGCCGGAGTGCAAACAGAGCTGAACTTTACAATTGGGCATTGGCTTTTATTTGCATTTCTTGTTAGCCGCACTGCAAAAGGTCAGTTAACCCGGGGAGCTTAACTTTAACCGAAAGACGGGGCTGGCCGAAAGGACATGTCATTCATTATGGATGCGGCAAATGCGAACTTTCAACTCCCTGGACTGGGCGACAGCATCCCGAAAATATCCGGCCATTGAAAATGACATTTGCGGCACATCACACCAGTTCTTGTAAAGCGGCAGAGAGGAAAATAACTGAAAATGTTTTAATAAAAAAGGATATGAGATTGCCTTTCATTCAGTTCGTATTTTTGCAATTCTTCAATTTATCTAAAATTTACTTTTAAATAAACTACCTAAACAAATTAATTTTGGTAAGATGATATTTTTAAAGGAAACTTAAAAATGTTCTTTCAGATTTTACTGACTATAAATTAAGAAGTATAATAAAAATAATCTTAAAATTATACATACTTTTGGTAAAATACTTTGACTTTGAAAAAAAAAATTTAAACAGATAAGTCTCAAGCTGGACTCTTGTATATTATTAAAAATAATCGATTTTTTTTTATTTTACAAAAACCATTTCCTAGTACAAAAATTGATTGGAGATTTTTACCGTGCACTCATCCTCCGGGCAATGCATGCGAAATTCACTTCAAACTAAAGTACAAAAAAGTAGGGAAAAGAAGGAAAACTGCCAGCCGCCTTAAACCGATGTGCCATGTAAATAGTAGATTTTGTGGGCGAGGGGGGAAGGACAAAAAGGGGAGATCGGAAAATCCACTTCATCGGCGACGGTTGGCGCGGAAAAGTGTGTCACCTGCAGGCAGGAAGTGCGCAGGTCCTGTGAGAGGAAAAGCGGCTGCCGCCTGATGGTGACTTTTCGCCGAAGACTTTTCACCAACGACATTCGCATTTTCAACCGAAGGCAGAGTGAAATCAAATTCAGAACGTGGTCAGACGTTGTAGCGCGTGGTCGTGGAATTTTCCGAGAAAAACCCTGGGGGAAAATCAAACAGTGCGAGGCAGCAGAAGCAGCAACAACAACTAACTAGAGCAGAGGAAATTGTGAGCAATTTGTATTTTAGTAGTATATTTCTTTACGCGCGCGTCTGTGTGCGTGAGTGTGCGATGGTGTGCGTGTGTCTGTGATGATGAACCGAACAGCGTGCAACAAGAAAAAAAAAGAAAATAATGCCAAAAAGTGCCAAACACAAACAAAAAACGAAAACCCAAAAAAAAAGCGAGGCGAGCAAATATTTTTCTGCTTGAGCAGGGCAAAGAAAAGCACAAACTGCAGAGTATCCATGCTTAAAAAAGTGAAAAGCAATCAAAGTAATAAACGAAAAGGGGGAAAGGCGATAGCGAAACCGAAAGCAAATCAAAAAAATCAATGCCTTTCTGCGGAATTATACGTTGCGTATACGTGATATGTACTAAGCCAGCCAAGTCAAATAATAATAAAGGAAATTCTCACGTGACGCATAAAAAACCAACGCACACTCACACACCAACACGGCATGCCCCCTTAAACACACATACACTTGTAAACTTACTACCTGGGACACAAATTGAAGTTGGCGAAACATATTTGCGCAGCAAAGTTGCTACACAGAGAAAAGAGATGGTGAAGTAGTTATATATTGTGGCTGAAATAGTTATTCGACGCATTTCTTACAAATAAAGTATTAAAATTCTTTTATAGAAAATCGAGATATAGATATAAAGCTATAACCATTTCAAAGCATTCATTGTTCTAGTGCCTATAAATAGGCCACCAAATATTTTATTCGGGAATTTTAATAAAATCATAAGTCATAAAATATATGCAAAATACGCCTATAAATTAGACTTGAGCGATATTTAATCTTTGTGAACAAGGAATTCAAAAACTTGATTTGTGTTGTCAATATAACTTTAAAAATGTTGAAAATATTAAGAAATTTGAAAATATGGTGAAATAACAAGCGGTTGAAACTCCGTTGATACATTATATTATATTTAAAATACCTTTAGCTACTTTTTCCTCTGTGCATTTGGGAAGCATATGATTATGATGAGCTTGTCTTGCAAACTTCGCTCTTTTTTTGGGGCTCGTGGCTGGAAAATGACAACAGCTGGATGGTCGAGTGGGCGATGTGGTGGGCCAAGATTGCCTTTTGCCGCATTTGTTGCCGCTATTTTGCATACATTGAATTTAATGAACTGCCTGTGTGTGTTGTGTTGGATTTGCTTTTAATAATTTAGCTGGCTGCGGACTAAATGGCGCTTTTAAAGTATGAACCGTCAGGCGACCCCAATATGGGCGACAAACGAGCGAGATGAGGCAAAAATAAAAATATAAAAAATGGAAGAAGGCAAGGGAGGAACACGAACCATTTAATGCCCCTTCGCACCCTCGGTGCGTTTGTATGGGTATTTCGTTGAGTGTGTGTGCAACCCCAAGTCGGAAGGGCAGGCATACTAACACAGTTTAGCCGGAGGACTACGTCATCCTGGCCCAGAAGCTTTGTAGCCAGAACCCAAAACCCAGAAGCCAGCAGCCAAACCAAACCGAACCGAACCATACCAAACCATGCCAAACCAAACCAAAGCGAACAGAAACTGAGCTGAAACCCCGGACTCTCGGGGTCCTTCCAACTTTCCTTTGGCGTCGTCGCATTTTCGCATTCACAATCACATCGCGTGGCATATTCATAGGCGTAAGGATACGGCATAGGCATATAGTCTGGCCTCCACTAACACACTCGCATCATAACCAACACATGCACAGTGGGGTGAAGTTATAAGGACTCGAGTTCCGCTGCTCCTCCTTCGGATCGATTCCGGGTAACACAGACTTTGCGGCAGTTGCCGTCGCACACACTAAGCGAAAACTGTAAGGCCTAAAGTCTCTTTCAGTAATTTGTGGAATTTATAAGTTGGATTCTAAAAGTATGCAACATTTTATGAAATTAGGGTTATTTAAATGGTCTTTGAAAAGAAATAAACTGATAATAGTAATATAATATTTTATATGGACAGAAGAAGATTAGAGGATATATTATTCTTAATGAGAATAGGTTTTTTAAATTTTAGTTAGGGATGTTGGCTGGGTTTACCCTCAAATAAAAGTGTGAAATCATATATTTAAAAAGATTTATGAATTTTAAATTTTCTTATTTTTAAGGAAAATATGCCCTTTGGGATGTTTATTTTCTCAGTGAAGTGTCAGCAGTTGCAGTTACTTCGTTTACTCGCTGCACGACAATCTGCATGCGGCATGACATCGAGGGTCTGGGGATAGCGAATAGAGGCAGGCAACGGGGCGTGGCAGCTACTGCCTCGATGGAGACGTCATCAATTTCTATCCAGCCTATAAATGTACTAGAGGTTCACATATATATTCCACAAAGATGCCTTTGGGGCGGCAAGTGTTGCAGCAAGTGTTGCAGTAAATTTCGAGCAGATCCGACTGCTGCCGGCATGACCCTTGACCTTCGACTTGCACCATGTGCCATTGGTTCCCCCTCGATTTTGCCCGTTTATGCTTCGATTTGTCGCCCTTTCACCCCTCTCCCCTCCCCCTCCCCCTTCCCCGCCTGCAACTGCAAAATCATTTGCCATCGAAATCGCATGTCGACCAGCTGAAATAATACTAAAAGCGGAAAAGCGGGCAAAAAAGAAAATAAGACAAGTAATATAGCAAACCGAAAACCCAACCAGAAATCCTTGTCGCACAGTTTGCGTTTATAATTTATATATTACGTTCCCGTACGAGGCTTCTCTTGTTTTAGTTGCGCATTCGGCCTTGTCTTGGCCAAGTATCCGTATCCGTATGCGACTCGGAATTGGAATCGGAATCGGAACCCGTATCCGAGGAGGCCTTTAAGTGTGCCCGATGGCATTTCGGGTTCCCCATCTCGTTTAGCCCAAGGAGCTGCCCGCTTTATGGCTATTAAAATATGCATTTAAATAGACACCATACCATTCCATATACCCTATACCTCATATACCACATACCATATAATCTTTGATGCGGCCTGCGTCTGTCTCCGGTTCTTCGAGGGGCTTCATATTCATGAGTCTGAGTTTGAGTATGAGTACGAGTTCCTTTGGGGCGTTGTTGAAAATTGAAATTGTGCGCTTATTTATGGAGCCCTGCTTGGGACGCTGGCGTTGATTGCCGTAACGCCCCATTGCCTGGTACATGACTATAATAATGATTGCCATTTTTATAGGCCAGCAGCTCCTTCAGCTGCGAAGATAAATTGTTTGTGCCCGCGCCGCCGTTTGGCTGCCTGGAAAATCGTTTCGCTTCGACATTTGAATCCTTTCGCTCGAAAGTTTTGGCTTTCGGTGGGTCAGCATGAATGCCAATGAAGTGGAACCGCAGTTTCTGATTAAGTGCTGCGTATACTTAATTTTTTGGGCAAATACTCGGGGCCCCGGACTTTCGTGGGTCGACAGCTCCTCCCATAGGCGCAGTTAGCTTAATTGCACTAATTAATTTGGCTGAGGTGAGTCTGTAAATTGCGTTTAGCCCCTTGCCGTCCTCACAATGTGTTTATGTGTCCTGTAAGTAGCTTAAGGATAACTAAATGCCAGCCTGTGTGGGTGAAGTGACCATCTCTGGGGCTTTCAGTGTGTGTATGTCCCACCTCCAGGATAAATAATACAATTGCCAGCAGTCGACTGGCCCCGTTTTGCTGATGACACACAGACCCGAGGAGTCGAGAAGTCGAGGAGTCGAGCGGCTGAACTTCTGACACCGCCAAGTGCCCCTCATTATGACCCCCAGTACATTGTATATGTGTGTAGTATATATATGTGGCTGCACGTGTGGAATATTAAGCAAACTGTGCAAACAGTCGTTGTCACATTAACCATGTCATGGCAAGTGCATATGCCAATCTATCACCCCCGACTCTTCGGTTTCCAATGGAAGAATTCTACACTAGGAGAACAATTCATGTGAAATATGATGAATAGCAATCTACGAGTTATATTTTACGACATTATCTGCTAGATATTCAACATCATGAAATGCATTAAGTTAGGAAATTGTTTTCTCAAAGCAAAATAATAAAATAATAAGAAGCAAAATAAAGCTTTTTCTTCGTTCAGTCAATTCCGAAAAAATCTTCCAAAATAAAAATTTCACGATTGCTTTTTATGTTTATAAAATTTTAAAAAAATCAAAGGTGATGTAAATCGTTAGAAAATCTTCTGGATAGAACTTGTGGATTGAGTCAATAACTTATATGTAAGCATATATTCGAATAAGTATTTTTTGTTGTGGGTTGTGGTTTGTCTAGAGACAAAGCTTTTAGTTCCAAAGTTCGCGATTAAAGCCGGATTCCACGAATCGAAGATTTAAGTCTACATTCTCTTATCTAAGCTTCTAAGCGGGTCTTGGAAAGTCAGCAATTTATTCAGAATTAGTTCGTTGAAAACATTCGACTTCAGTATAGCTACGCTTATGAAGTGTTTAAGTTCGCTCTGAAGTAAAAGTGGAGTGCAAAAAAAATTAAGCAGTTAAAATTGGTAATTTGCGAAGATGTTAACTATAAATGTTGTTCTCTAATTTTTTGTGAACTCATAATTTTCATAAGGAAAATAATAAAGGTTCTAATTAGTTTAGGGTTAAATTTTAACTATTTTTCCCAGTGCCAGCCAACATTTAGAACGTGTTCTATTTATAGTATACATTTAAGTAGTACATATTTTCCGTGCGTGATCAATTGAGTGTGCGTTCCAGTCATTTTATGCGCAATTAAAATAACCGATGGCCGGCCAACGACAGCCGCTTAGCGCCACTTCGCGTTCTAAATGGATTCCTGAGCTTATGGATCCCAGTGTTTAAGCTGGGGAAAAATCGCATTAGCCTTGCAAGTGGATGTGCGAGAAGCCTGTATATGTATGTGTCATGTGCACAAGCCCCATTTTTCGCACGTGTCCTGCACACGACGCAGAGGTTAAATATTGCAGCACTTTCATGCGATTCCTGGAAGCCCCATCCCAGCGCAGCCACATCCGCAATCGCATCCGGCGAGCGACGGCTAAAAGCAGAAAGATTTGCCTGCCGA